GGGCCGGGGAGGGAAGGCCGGCGGGGAAAGAGCGGCGTAGCTCGGTCAGTTGCAGAGAGTCCGGGCTCTCCTCGGGGGGTCCCGGGGCAGCAAACGCTCGGCTGCAGCTGACCGTATTTCAGAGGCCCGGGCGACCTTATCCGCCACCCCTGCTTCTGCTAAAAACCCTGGGCAACCGAGAAACAAACTGGTGCTGTCATTCTTCCAGAGGGCAGGCTTACAAGACTGTCAAGTGGTCTCCGGTGACATTCAGGGGCTCGCAGGTGAAGGGGAACCACAGCAGGAATTCCTCAAGGATCATTAAACTGATTGTAGAGTTTGCCTAGACAGCATTTTAACGGAGAAAAGCCCCAATACTCAAAACGTGTACTCCCTTTCTCCGACCCATTTCTGTAAGTCGTCGTTTCTCTGCTAACTGATAAGCAATGAAAATTACAAGCTGTGACTGTGTGAGCAGAAGTTTGCTAGAATATAAACAATTCAGCCTAATGCCTGAGCTGCAAATGAGCTGGAGTGATTTTCAGCCAGCTGGCAGGCCGCGGGTCTGAAAACTGACAAAATTCGTCAACCAACCTCAGAGACTATGACAGCTGATATAATAGTCAAGCACGTAAGAGTGGTGTTGAAAACGAATTAGCAAACCACAAAACCAGCCTGAAATTTTGAGTGAAAAATACAATAAACTGCCTTTCAGCCAAGGCTGAGTGTTCAGATACGAGCCTTCCAAGTCTTCCAGCAGCTCCCACTTCCTTAGGACTTTTGGTAACATCGAAGTCACACGTAAACCTACATAAACTATTGTTTTGCTAGTTTTTTCAAAGATCAGCTTAAGTAAATTACATAAACCCAAACTCGGTTAACCCAAAGTTAACAATTTAAGCCTTTTTGTGCCCGATTCTTACATCCAACTCTGAGAAGCAGGCAAGTTAATGACAGGTGTTGTACGTAACGATGATACTGCTTTAAATCTTAGAAGTACATAACACTTTTTCAGTATTTCAAAGGACTATCCAAAGTTGTACATTTCACACCTGAAGAAACTCTTACCTTTATCTTCCAGTCTGTCACTATCCGCTTGAGTTGAGCTGCGGGGTCTTTACCTGAAAGGCCAAAATATGCGCCCATAAGTTTGGTGATACGGTAACAACACAGACTTTGCAGCATCTGTAGCTTATCATGCTGACTGAATAGCTAATTTAACAAGTACTGCCAGGAAACATCAGGCTAAGCATGACAAACAGAGGCTGAAATAAGTTGCACCAACAAAACCAGTATTTTTGTTACTACAAACTTTGTAGCTACATCTGGCCTGAAGCTTTTTGGTCAGACTGAGTCCCCATTTTGTGAATAGAGCTTTTCCAGCAAAACTTCTCAGTTTAAACAAAGCCTCAGTTTTGTTCTATCTAAACTGTGTCTTAGCATGCCTGGGACACTTGCATTACAACACAGAACCCTCAGCACAGTCAGTTTGTCTTTGTGCCCTTAGAGAGCTAATTTCTTCTCCCTGGCTTTTTGCTGTTATCTGCTGCAGCAACTCCCCTTTGAGTTGTTCATTCTACTGGCTGGAAGCCGTATGTGGCCGATAAGCAAAATTTGCTCTCTAATGATTGTGTTTGTTTTTAGTAATAACTGTATCATGGCTTCCTTTAATTCTATTTAACTTTATGTCTAATGAAAGATAAAAATAAAAATGTGGAGAATACTGCTCACTACTGCCAACCAATTAATTATTTATTTAATCATAATTTTGATGAAATATAAATCTGTATGTACTGTCAGGGAACAGTGACTTGTATGAAAGTTGTGTTTCGCTGATGGCAATTTCAATTCAGACTATGGGATTGCGAAGTGAAATAAAGTGGTTTCAAGCCAAAGAGTGCACAAATCACTCTTCCAGCCACCAGCGTGCATCTCCTCCTTGTCATTTCAGTTGCAGAGGACTGGTATCCATACACCGTCCAACAACTTTCTCCAAAGAAAGAAGTACAGGATCCTCTCTGTGCTAAATGCCCCCAGGAGCAGATGCCTTGGAGTAGTCCATTAGCAAAATGATTATTGTTGCCTATCTTCCATTGCATTATACATATTTTATACTGCAAGAGAGCTTGAGTCCATTCCAAAAGTATCTCGGCTGTGAAAATGTGATCTGAAACACTCTGCAGCTGCAGAGTGTCTAAAGCTTTCCATTCTGAATGGGAGGCAGATGAAACAACAGGGTACAGGCAAAGTCTTGCTCTGCTAAACAGATGCAATGGGGTAGCAGTTGTCATCGTGATAGGGCCATCTCAGAGTAATCCATGTAAATGCTCAGCCCTTGAAATGGAACTGTCCACTGATTAAATGCTAATAATCCAGGTATTAAGTACAAGTTCTACACAGCTGTACCATTAAGTGCAAAATTCAGAACAACATTGAGACAGCCCAGTGGTCTGATCCATAGTGAGCCAAAAAACCCACTTACGGGATTCATTATGCACTCCCATGGCTGAATCCTGCACTGCTTGCTCTAGCAAATCTCCCCAGTGGAGAAACAGACTTCAAGATCGAAGCAAATTATTTTAAACACTGGAAATCAGTAATAAAATTTTCATAAATATTTGTCATGTCAGTTGTTATTAAAGGATTTCCTTTTGGTTTTGTTGGGGGGGGAAACTGTGACTTTTGTTCATTTGTAAAAGGAATGAAAATCCATACTGAGTCAGCTTCACAAATAAACTTAATAATTGCATACGATGTAATGAGCTGAGCATGTGGGAAAAAAACATTTCTTGCTCAACAGCTCCTCCTACTGCTTACACGTAGCATGAAGTTATCAAGGCATAATTTGTTTTCATTCATTGGCTTCAGAAGCAAATAATCTGCTAATATAAACAAGTATTGAACATCTATTTAGTGTTACAATATACAGCAATTGGGTATATGTTGCATGATATGGGAAAAAATGGGAAATTATTTTGGGTCCAAGAGATAAAAAACAACATACAACTTTGATTCATAGACAATTTTCATGGTACCCAGAATTAAAATACAGAATAAGATATTGATGAGAGCACTCCCTTTTTTTGCTAGTCTGCACAATACCAACACTGTTAGCATTATAATTTCTTGCTTATAATAGAAAAACAATGTTTTTGATTGTAAGAAGCTTCATTTTGTAAAGACACTTACAAGGATAATTTAAATAATAACAACAATAAAAAATTGTTTCATTTACTCTAGTTGCAAACTGAATTTACTGTTATTTTACCCTGGGGATGAACAGTGAAGATACAATACTGACTGGGTCATCAGCTTTACTGGATAATTTCACTAACATGAAGCATTTAGTTTGATGGAAATTTCCTTGTAAAAATACTACCAAAATCTGTAAAATTTCTATTCTATAATATTCTCTGGGATGCTAAAATTTGCAGTATGCTTCTGTTATTATTCTGCTGCCCATTTGAAAAGTCTTCTCAGGACTGTCAGATTCAAACAGTGTTATTAGCATAAATCAGAAGTGCACGCTAATGTAGCTTACTGCAGGTTAGTCCTTTCAATGCAGGTCAGACCGCTGAAACTTATACCAAGATATTCCCAGAATCCTACAGAGTCATCATCTCCCTTTTCTTCTGTTAATATATAAAATCATAATAGAAAAATTAGTACCAATGGTAACTATAAAACTGGCTTTTTGCATGTCAGGAATAAAACTGCAATGCAGTAAAATATCTTGTGCTTTTCTTTTCAGATGTTTTAAAGAAACAAATTTTAGAATATTCAGGATGACAGACACAGCTCTCCAGAGGAATAAAAGCACAGCAATATCATAAACTGTTTTCTACAATAGTTTGGATAACAGGTAAATAAAGTTTAGGTTTTCTGCCAATTATTTTTATCATTTCTTTCGATCTCAGTTGATATAAACAACACTTTCTAATATTGTTTCCAGGATTTTATGTTGCAGCAAATGCCAAGCATTGCAAGTAAATTCTGCCTTCTCCCTGGTAAACCCATGAGAAATCTTATTATAGGAATTTTGCTCATCTTGCATCTCCGTTGAAGAGGAACATTTGCAGGTGTGGAATGAAAACAGCAATTTTCCACACAAGTTGTTCTTTTCTATTTTCCATGATTCTCAATTCCCATTCCTCATTATAGTACATCTTCACGTGTAAAGTCTGATTTTCGTTTATTTCCTGGCAACGTAAAGTGACCTTAGTGTCAGTGAGAATGAGAGAGAGTCACAGGATGCCGGGAGATTTCTGGAAAACGGAGAGTCATGTTTTAGTAACATGTTTATTTAAACATAAGATTCTGCTATGGAACAGTGTGCACCAAACCACAACAGAGAAGCAGTGTATCGCTGTGCAGCTGAAGCTCATCCTGGATATGTTGGGAAGGTGAAATGTATGCAGGTACCAGCATGCAGACAGATAAC